TCAGTTTCGGAAGATGCTAATAAAACAAGGTCGTCTGCAAACGGCAACCTTCTCGACTTCACATCTCCTACACCGATACTCCCATCGCCTTGGCAACTCCTGACTATTCTATCCATGTATAACACAAGCTGGATAGGGGCCAGGACGCAACCTTGGAATGACTGAAATCGGCTAACTTGGGCCTTCCTCTGAAGGTTGTGTTTTATAACGGGTTGGCCTGGCGTCTGGAGGTTGGAAACGAGCTTCCTTGTGGATACGAGCGGTTAAACTGCTGTCGCCAAAAGAAGAGTGCCGTCAAGAAATGGCCTGAAAGCATAAAACCTTTAACTTACATACGGCATGTAGCGCAAGGCGGCAGCGAATGTTTAACAGCGGAGCTCTCTTAAACGGAACATGCTAGGAATAAGAAAAATAAAACAGATAAATGAGCAACATGGTCTGCTGCTAAGTTTCGAAAAGCTCGTGTACATATTATGTGACAAATCAGGAAAATTAAAATTCGAAAATAAATCTCCTAACTGAAGCATCTGGATAAATGAATAAAAATATAATGGTCTATTTCCATATATATTATGTTTAAGATGTCATCTGATTTGCCACCTACTATAACTCTTTTGTCATCTACGTGCGTGATCTTAAATATAAATTTTATAATACAGAATATTCAAAAGTTAATCCTGATAGATGTTTGCTAGGAAACGGCCAGTTTTTGATATCGCCTATAGAATGGCAATCCTATGTTATTTTTCTGATTCACATGGCATAACCGCACCTTCCTCTTGCTTCATGCAGAAAGTGGGACAGTTGAGCGGGCTACGGCTTCTTGGCAGTGTAGCACCTACAATGCATGAACGCAAAATAGTATCCCTTTCTTGGATCAAAGAGAATATGCCTTGTTTAATAACAATCCATAAGAACGACTAACGGCGCATTTCGCATTTACTAGGAAACTGCTAGTTGTCGATGAACGTTACTAAAGTAACTAAGGTGCGGCTAAGCCTCATGAACCCGAAGAATGGCAGGCGAGTATCATTCAGGACATTAATTCATGGTTTTAGTTTCAGAGAAAACAACTTATAAAGCCATATCACCTGTTATTTTAGATGCTAACACCGGATAACCTGATCATGAAAGCATCGCCCATTGCTTTTAGATGCCAGACTGGATCGTTCCATTCAGTGTAATTTAGGCCTACATGAAATGGAGTGCGCAGGCGCGTTCAAACACTGATTAAATTTGGCATTATCGATAAGTTAATAAATAAACAAATCATAATTCTGATGCTCTGGTAGTGATTGGCCAGTAATCATATCAATGATCCATTCCTTAGCCATTTGCGGAATCTGTCGAAGAACATCGGTGTTACGTTTTGCCTTACACCTGGAACAATGTTTGGTGATCTGCATAAATTCTCTTGCTCTTTAAAGGTCAGCCATTTGCAGCTGTTTCTAGGGTCAGCATCTCACATCAGCTATGAAAATATCAACACTGAATGCGCGGATTTTGAAAGCAATTTGTTTAAAGATACTTACTAACTACTGGCAGAACGCTCATGTGGTTCATCATGCTAATCATAATGCTAATAACTAGTGGCACCATAGAAATCCAAGGCCTGCCCATGTGATTCGTTGGACTCCTATTGTCATCTAATCAGCCTGTGGTCAGCGCATCCCTACGTTCTCGCTACTGCTGAAAAGCAGATGTGCCCTCTCTGCTACTACGGTACATGTATATAACTTGAATCGAACTGAATTGATATCGCTCCTGGACACTGTTCGATTCTATTGGCACTAAGCAGTGCCTGCTGCGGTTCGACAGAACAGTGGACTGTGAGAAATTTCGATTCCCAATTGCTCAGGTCTTTTCATGCATCAGTGGATGTTTTTTCATATTCCTTAAAGCACATGCACATTTTTCAACGGGAAACATAATTTCAAAATTTGAAGCTAACTGATAAGTATAGGCGCCAGAAATCGTAACGAGTCTGACATCTTCAAAATGAACATGTGAGTTCAAAATATGAGAAGCTGTGCTTCAGTGCTTTTTTAAAGTCATCATTAAATATTGCGTGGCTTCGATTGCTTGAATTGTGCACAATAGCATGGAAGAATGGCGTAACGGATTACGCAAGGAAATTACGTGACCAATCAGCAAATGAAGAGAACGAAATCTTGCCCTCATTGCTGTGCCATTTCTATTTTCCATTGCCACTGAGAGACGTGACTTTTTTTCTGCTGCGTGTTGCACAATTCCTTAGGCTTTTTCATACGGTACTTTGACCTCGATATGGGAGAGGATTCATTTTCTTACGGACTGCTTGTTGCCACATGTCGCTCGTCGATCATTGACAACTTACAGTTTTATAGGTGAAACTTTATTCTTTGAGTGAGGATGTTTCTGATTTATCGAACGTAATATTTGCCGCAGTCATGTTGCAATTTGTAAATTCAGCCTAATGAGTTGCCATCAAAAGAGGTAATCAGCAAAGCATTGAGTTTATTGGAAATTTTGCGTCGTCTTCGTATTTCTAGCATGTTCTTTTGAACACATGTCCGCTAATCGAGTCAATCTCATTCATATTTTTCTGTCGTTGTGACTCGCAGTTTCGTATCGTTTCTTCACGACATCGCGCCACCTGCTCTTCAGTCTTTCCCTTCTTTTCCTCTCTGCCAGCAT